TAGGGTCTAGGGTTTATTTCTCTAGAGTCTAGCTCCTAGGGTGCAGGGTTTAGGGTTGTGTGCGGGGGTTTGTGTGGTGAGATTTGTGAGTTGAGTGCGTTGTTCTGGGTTTCAGTGCGGAGTGTAGATGCTGAAGAAGTGCCGGAGTTTGAGAATTTGTGGCCGCGGCAGCGGCTAGTGGCATCGCTGTTGATGCGTTCGGCTTCAAACCCTCGTGCTGCTGCTGCTCTGGGGCTGCTGCAGCCGCAGAGCATCGACTCAGGCGCAGCACCGCAAGTGAAGCAAAGTCAACCTGCTGAGGATGCTGGTGCTCACCGTCCGTCTAATATAATCTTATACACTCAAAATTTCTCGTATTAAACATTCTTTTATGGATTCTTTGTATTCCTTGAGTTAATTCATCCTCTTAATCCTTATTCAGTCTGATGTCATGTTACTTTTGCTGCTTATTAGTGCTCCTCATGTCCTAATTCAGATATTTTTCCTAGTACCCTGACTAAGATCTAGATAAATTCTTTACCACTGTTTAGTTGCAAAGCAGTTCATCTTCTGAATCCCGCTCAAGTCTTAACTCTCCTCAGCCCTTCTTCAGTCTTAAATCACTTCTTCTGTATTATTGTTTTCACTCCTATATCAGTTTGTTTTTTTAATTCTTTTTAAATTTTGAATCAATCCTCCACTCTTCGTATCTATCGGGAAGAAGACGCCCCGCTTGTCCTTCTGTTTGGGGGATTCGGGTGTTCGTGTTGCACAGTTGAGAATGTGCTCTTGTGAGGTGTACAGACGAAGTGTAAAGTGTATAACTAAGAGCTTTTCGTGTCTTATTGTGTTCAGAGGTGGTCAGCAGCAACCCCTTGACCGACCCCTTCTTCTGGTTCTCCTTCATACTGCCGGATGCAGCGCTTGAGGCAGAGGCAGCAGAGCGTGCTGCACCGGGAGACGCAGCGACAGAGGGGCCCCTCGGAGCTGCTTTTTCAAAGGGTTTCAACGTCGTAGAATACCCGCTGCCCCCCCACCCAGGTTCCCGCCCTATGAGGCGGCACCAGGCGCGAAACCTCTCTTACAACGCGAGGTAGGACATCCAGCTAAAGGCCAAACTTTTTCTCAAATCAAGGAATTATTATTATCATTATTATTATTATTAGGATTTTGTATATATAAGGGTTTGTGATCACAATGCTTTGTGCCGTGCTGCAGCATTTCGGATTTCCTTGGGGCCGAGGCACTCCAGCGGCTAGAAGCAGACTGCCCTCAGCTGCGACTGACAGTACGACGGCTCAAACAGAAAGAGCCGCCGAAGGCACCCCTGACAGACATTAGACTCTTTGGTGAGTGAGGCTGGTTTCTTGGGGTTTAGAGGTTGTTGGGGTTGAGGGTTTGATACTTAGGGTTTGGGGTTTAGGGTTTGAGCCAGATTTCACGTTTTGGGATTTCGGGTGTATGAGTACAGAAGTGTTAGGGGAGTTTCTTTTTGCATTGCTTTCTTTGTACAGGCATCGATACACCTGACTTTTCGGAGTTTAATTCTCGTCTAAGATTCGACCAGTCTCTCTTGCTAGGCGTTGGAGAGGCCCACGTACTTTCTGCTAGGACCCTGTCTAGGGTCCCCGCACCAGGGGGCCCATCGGCAGCTGCTGGGGGTGCATTGGGGGCCCCCGCCGGTGCAGCGAACCGCTCCCTTGCTGCGCCTTCAACCCTCTGTACTGATGTCCTCCTCGCTCTTTGTGGGAACGCCCGAGTCACTAGCAGTACCAACCCCGTTGGCGCTGCAGTGTTTGCTCAGGAGCAGCAACAGATGCGGCTGCGGCTCTTGCAGGCAGCAGCAAAAGCAGCAGCAACAGCGGGAACGACATTGGGGGGCGCAACCCAAAGGGCTGCAGCCGACGAGGGGTCCGTTGCATCCCCAGCCTCGCGGGGCCCCCCCCTAAAGCGCCTGAAGACAGATGCAGCAGAGACAGAGGGCGCTCAAGCAGCAGCACCGGCTGCTGCAGCTGTATCGTCTGCTGCTGCAGTAAAACAATCCGAAGAGACTGCTGCAGCTGCTCAGTCGGATTCAACAGTGCAACAGGGGGAGAGAACAGCTGCAGCAGCGGCAGCGCCAGGGACCGCGGGGGCACCCGCAAGGAATCTTCCTGCACATTTCGATGCTCTTTATGATTTGCTGTTGAGCACACCGCAGCAGAAACAGCAACTGCAGCACCAGATGCAGCAGCAGCTGTTGC